ATAACACTCAGTCTCCCGAGGAGGTCAGCCCAAGAACACACCTCGCACTCCCTCCCCCCAGCCAAGGCTAAGATGCATGAAGACTCCTTGCGATTCCTGGGGGCGGGGGGGGGATGCAGTATGGGAAGGGGAAGGGGGAGACTCATACATACTTGACAGCCCAAGACCAACACTGAGAGTGCCTGCATGATCAAAGCAAACATGAGGGCAAAGGAAGAGAAATGGCAGGTAACGAACAGGAACTTGTTCCGGTCCATCCACACTTCCTCCGCTCATCCGCTCATCATCGCTCTTCAGTGATGTTTCCCTCCCCCCCCTCCTTCCCTGCCCTCTGTCTCTCCCTCCTCGCCCTCCCTGCTTCCCTGCAACATTTCACCTCCTTTTACATCTTTGCCCGTCAACACGCCTCCCACTTGCCCGCCGCTCTTGCTTCCAACACCTGCTCTAGGAATCGCAAGGAGTCTTCCGCATCCTAGCCTTGGATGGGGGAGGAGTGCGAGGAGTGTTCTCGGCTGCCCTCCTCGCAAGACTGTGTGCCATCCATCCTCAGCTTCTGGACGAGGTAGCCTCCTCTTCTCTCGCTCGTTGCTCCTCTCCAGCCTGCTGAGGTCCCCGCGCAGGTGGACGTGATCTGCGGGACCTCTACAGGAGGGCTCATCGCACTCCTCCTCGGTCTCGGCTACACAGCAGAGGAGGTCACCTGTATCTACCAGTATCATCTCCCCACCATCTTCTCGACCAACCCGGCGAGGAGGTGAGCTTTGCCTCAGCTGCCTCTCAGTCCCTGCCTCGTCCCCGGCCTGCTGTGTCGATATCCTCGTCACCTTCCGTTCGACTCTCCTCTCATTCGGTGAGCAGGTATTCGCCCTTCTGCTCCTCCTACAGGAAGGAGAACCTCTCCAAGGTACGCGTTGAGTTGTTCCCCTCCCCTCCCTCCCTCCCTCCCTCCCTCCCTCCCTCCCTCCCTCCCTCCTCCACCTAAACGAGGGCGGCAGGTGATCGAGATCTACTGCGAGGACAAGTGCTTCCGCGACCTCCAGCGCCACCTCGTCATCACCAGCTTCATGGTGGACAGTAGCAAGTCCTCTCCTCCTCCCCAGCTCAACAACCACCTCGACCCTGCCATCGAGCACGCCTGGGGCTCGAGCGACGGCAGCTGGCATCCGGCAGTCTTCAGCAACATCCCTCAGACGGTCAAGGGCACCAGGGCCCCGGACCTCGACCTTCCCGTCCTCCAGGCCGGGCTCAGGACGACAGCTGCCCCGACGCTCTTCCCCTTGCACGACGGCTACACGGACGGCGCGGTGTACGCCAACAACCCCTCGCTAGTGGGGCTGGCCAAGATCAAGGCACACTTTCCTCGCATCAAGTCCAGAGACTTCCGCATCCTCTCCGTTGGGACAGGACGCTTTCCCTACCGTGCTGAGGTCCCTGGGGATGGCAACGCGGACTGGGGGATCCGACAGTGGGCTCCGCACCTGCTGGACATGCTCAACGACGCCTCCTCTGTGAACGTGGACATGAACATGCGGCTTATCCTCGGGCAGAACTACCATCGGCTCGACCCTCGCCTGCCATGGCGCATCTCCATCGACAACCTAGACGCCATCGAGGAACTGGTGCTCCTGGCGCGGCAGGCGGACCTGACGGGGGTGAGCGACTTTATCAGGGATCGCTGGCTCAATCCTTCGCCTCCTCCGATCGTGTGAGGAGGGAGAATGGGAAGGGGATGCAGCAGGGAGGCAGGTACGGGGAGGGGGCAAAGAGGAAGGACGGTTCTAGCAGAGGTCAGATCTCATGGCTGGTGCAGGAGCCAAGCTTGAGCTTGTTCATGGAAAGAATAGATGGGTAGAATGTCATGAAGGGAATTGGAATCAGAACGAGTCGAAGAAAGTCTTCCTCTCCCGTTGCTTCCAGTTAGCTATCAAGTACTCTTTGCCTGCCACAAGACGTCAGAGTCACTCGCGACCACATTCTATCCTCGTTGTCATCAACGTAGTCTTGATCAGAACCTAGTCCTCTTCCCCCTCCCTCCCTTTTTCCCTCCACAACCACCACTAGATTCTCCTCCTCCTCATCATGATCATGATCATGATCATCATCATCATCATCATCATCATTTCCCCTATCATCCCCCCCACAAGCACATCTTCGTCTCCACAAAAATCAGCGTCTCCACATAATCGTTTTGATGACAAGTTCGTCATTCTCACCCGACATGGCCTTGGCAATCACTTTGTACTCCGACACCATCTGCCATGTCCGATGCTTCTGACCTGCCGCAAGAGATCGTGTGCTCGTAATGACGTTCAGCCCCTTCCATTCCTCGGGGCAGGACGATTCTGCTACTTTGAGCAGGTGCAGCACAGAAGACGGGAACCCCCATCCTCTCATCGACAGGTCCACGTTCAATGTGCCGTTGACCGCCCGTATTTCCTCCTCGCTCACACCCACCACAAACTTCTCCGCTACCTCCGTCCTCGCCTTCGCTGCAGGATACTCTGCCACCAGCTCCCAGCGGCGGAACCTCTGCAAGATGGCATAACAAGCCATGTGCTGACTGCAAGAGTCCACCACCACACAGTAGTCGTCCTTCTTTGGATCCTGCCTTGCCCCGTCGAAGATGAAGTCCCAGCAATAGTTGGGCTTGTGCGCACAGCAGCTCCACCGCGATATGCAGTCCTTCCACTGCTTCTCCGGAACGCAGTAGTCACCATTGCCGAAGAACCTCTCGTCCTTGAAGTGCATCCACAGGGACCCCAGAGGGCACAGGCAGCCGTCGCAGTCGTCCCGTCGCAGGAAGCTCTGCTCCGAGGTCCCGCGCGAGCACACGTGCAGCGACGCCTCCCCAAAGACGATCGACGACGACTCGTTGGCCTTGACGTACCCCTCCTTCCCCAGGGGCGGGTGCATCTCATCGAAGTATTTCCCCCTCAGGCAGATCTTGGGCGACTGGTACTCTGGCCTGCAGATCGCCTCGGGGTCGTTGAGGATGATTATCCCCACAAAGGCGACGACGCAGCCGGCAAACATGGAGATGAGGGCAGTGAGCGACAGCAGCACCTTCCCCTTCCCGTTGCATTTCGATTTCTGCCTCCTCTCTGCCTCGGAGACCAGCCGGCATTCGACTCCCTGTATCCTCCTGCACGTGTTTCTCAGGTGCGCCGCCCGCTCGAGCTTCCCTTTCACGCTGTCTATCTCCATTCGTAGAACATTAACCTTCTTCTCCAACGCCTGGTTTTTCTCCTCGAGGGCCCTCTCCTCGCTCTCCTGGAGCAAGTCGCTGGCAGCCCCCACCAGATGTCCTTCAGACAGTGAAGAGCTGAAGTCTGCCATACCTACTCCACATGATAAAGGTCAGCGGGGCAACGCCGGCCCGGGCCAGCAAATGTCCCTGAACCCTCACAGAGCATTGGAGAATTCCTTCTTGCAGGAGGGCTCAATCCTGCATGCTCCTTTCCTTCCTCTCTCACATCCTATCTTTATGTCGACTTTCCTCTTCCTATCTGAACCAAGTCCACTCCCAAACATCTGCCCCACCTGCTACTCCATGCGCCCCTTTCATTACACGGTGCGGGGGGGCATACTGTTCTGATTTACACCTTGAGAGCATTGTACCACTTTCCCTTGATGCTTACCATGCTCGACCTCACTGTCCTCAAGGTAATCTCTGTACATTAGCGACATCGGTATCCCTCCTGTACGCTCCTCAATCCTCCTGTCAACCTCGTACCCATCATCTTTCCTGCCTGTGTCTGTACCTTCTTGTCTACATTCCGGCCTTCCTGTCACTCTCTCCCTCTCTCTTCTCTACCTCTTAGCATTCCTCTTCTCTTCTTCCGACAAGCCCCTCACCTACTCCTTCCCCCTTCTCCTTCCCCGTTCTCCTTCCCTCCCAGTTTTCCCAATGTCCTTCATATTTCGTGACATCCTGGGGTACCCACCCCTACCCATGGCCCCAACATATTTGCGATGCACCCGTTCCAATGTTTCTTCACCGGTACTTGACATATGTTTTAGTACCGGTGTTTATCGTAGTGTGTAAACCCACCCTTAGTATGAAAATGTACAAAACCATCGACCACCCCTACAAACGACTACCCCTACCTGTGATTGCAATTAGGTTGACTACCCCACCCACCTTTATCTGCACTGGTAACAAAAATATTGCCTCCAACCCGTACCATAAACTTGATCCACCCCCCTCTTGTACTACTGTGCCCCATATGTCAAGGACCCCTCCTCCTCCCACTTCCCTTTTTTTTATTTGTTTTTTGGTTTTGTTTTATTCTTTTTTTGTTTCCCCGATGGATTGCAAAATGCACGGAGATGGAGGGCAAGGCAGGGCAGGGCAGGGGCAGAGAGGCAGAGGGCAGGGAGAACCTCCTCCATCTCTAGCAGCTAGATATGGAGGAGGAGGTAGAGAGTGAGGAGGGAGTAGAGGGGTTGGAAGGAGGAGTGAGCGAGGATGTTCGACAATCGAAGGCTGATCGTTGTGGCAGGAAACCATGTAGAAGATTGAAGTACGATTCTGGAGGGGGTGGGAGTATCGAATCATGAAACGATCTCCATCCTTTCTGCTCCTCTTGCTGTTGTCATGCGGCAAGAAATCCTGCTGCTACAGTAGCTCCCTCGCCTCAGTCCAGCAGCAGCAGCAGGATCAGGAATTTTCTGTGCAGATGCTCCTTGCACAGCCGCTCTCCTGCTCTTCCCTGGGATACAGGCAGGCTGAGGGAGGAAGGTTCCGCCTGAGATTTCTCGCCCGCTGCCACTACAGGAGGCAGGAGGAATCAAAGCTGGTGATGGAGGCGTTTGTCAACGCTGCCTTCCTCTTCAGCGAGCAAGTTGAGCTCTGTCGGGGAGGGAGCGGAAGGTTCCATCCCCACGAGATGACGAGGGTCGTGAACTGGTCTTCGGTGTTTGCGGGGAGGGAGAGGCATGTGCTGATGGTCAAGGTATGGCATGGCCCCACCCTCCTCGCGCAAGACTTCGTCCAGTTCTCAGGCTACGACTGCCTCCTGTGGCAGACGAGCTTCCCTCCTGCTAGGTGGAGCTCAGCTGGAAGAGTTGTGCTCTTTGAGAACGCGACGGCCAAAGAGGTCTTCTCCGACGGGAGGAGGATTGAGATGTGGATCAGCAGCGGGGGAGGAGGAGGAGGAGGGTTGACGCGTGTGAACGTCTCTGTATGGGAGCTGAAGAGGAGGAGGTGCATGTACATAGCGCTGGCGGCTCCCTTCGTACTCGATGCCACGTTCCTGCAGAGGGAGGAGGAGGACGAGGAGCAGGAGGAGCACAGGGAGGGGCAGGGGATATTGTCGCCATTGAAAGCTTCCCTGGACCTGTGCGGCTTCGAGCCAGAACATCTCAGCTACCCGCTCAGTGTCTTTGTCCTGTCGGTTTCCTGCTCTCCGAACTGCACGAGGAGGGCCCGCTCGCACCTGGACGAGCTGCGGAAGTCAGCCCTCGTGGAGGACAGCAACTTGCTCGCAGACTTCTCCTTGTGGATCCGGACTCGCTGTCCTTGGAGGGAGAAGGCCTGCCGAGGAGACGAGCGAGGCATCTGGGCGATGAGAGGAAGGAGGGTGTCGGGGTACACGTGGAGGAGCACTACGACGCTTCCCTTGCTCGCCATGTACAGGCTGGACGAGGAGGAGGAGAAGTGGGAGGAGGCAGGCAGAGTGGGCTGGTCGCAGCTCGTGTACGGGCAGAGCATGGTCTGGCAGCTATGGGGCAACAAGTTGAAGCAAGCTGTGCTTGGCGTGCAGCATTTCCTCTCTCCTCTGGTGTCCGACACCAACGAAATGTTCGAGTGGGAGCCTCTCACCTGCCGCCTACTCCCACTCCACGTCATTGCTCGTAGGTTCTTAAACCTGACTCCTGAGAAAAAGCAGGAGGTAGGAGCACAGCACCAGCACCAGCACCAGCAGCAAGGCCAAAGGCTGGACGGGGAGGAGGAGGAGGAGGGAAGGATCGTGAGGATCGGTCTTGCGGGGACATCGAGGGTTCGAGGGGTCTTCTACGCTTTGCAGGAGGCGATCACGGGGCGGAAGGTGTGGAGAGAGAAGAAGTTGAACCCCTTCTCCTACCAGGACCCGCGCTCAGGGCTCTTCCTCGACTACTTCCCCCTCCAGGGCTCGGAGTTCCATCAGTTCTTCCATCAGAAAGGCATCAGGAACGTCAGGGCAGGGAAGCTCCGGTGCAAGGCGTCCTCGATTGCCCTCGTTGAGTGGCTACTACTGAAGGGATACTGCAGAGCTCCATGCTCATCAGCGTCATCATCATCATCATCACCATCATCATCACCATCATCACCACCATCTTCTTCTTCTTCTTCTTCTTCTTCTTCTTCTTCTTCTTCTTCTTCTTCTTCTTCTTCTTCTTCTTCTTCTTCTTCTTCTTCTTCTTCTTCTTCTTTTTCTCCCTTAGATCTGCCATCCACCTCCTGCAAGGACAAGGAAGTGCTCGTGATGTCCGTGGGGCTGTACGAGGTGCTGTGGGGTCAGTACCACCTCCTGGAAGAGTGTCTGTATCATTTCTTCTCCACCCTTCATCCCCCCTGCCACAACTCCTCCACCCTCCTCGTCTTCAAGACGGAGGAAGCAGCGCCTGCCAAGAGGGAGGATCAGCTCGAGCTGTGGCAAGCCAAGGTCCAACTCGTGAACAGCATCGGGAGGCGGCTGGCCCGCAGCTTCGGGGTTGTCCTCCTCGACGCTCACCTCCTCTCCCTCTCCCGCTCCGACGCCACACAGGACGGGTCGCACTACTGGAGGTTCCACATGCTCGACGCCGACGAGCTCAAGAAGTTCTCCATGGTGGACTTGGGCAACGAGACAGTCGATCCAGGTGCGGAGAGGATAGTACCTTCCCCTCCACATCCCATCCCCCTTCTCTTCCTCCTCCTTTGCCTCCCCCTCCTTTGCCTCCTCCTCTTGCTTCTTCACTCCTTCCTTCTCCTCTGCAAGACCTTCTCGCATTTCTCCCCCTCCAGTCGCCTCCTCGTTCTCAGACTGGCAGCAGATCGATACGGTCATAGGTTCATCGAGAACTCTGTGACCAAGACGTTGGCGAGCTCAATCCTCCACCTTGCGATTCATCACAGGAGGGGAGGAAGAGAAGGTGTTCTTCATTATCGCAACACAACTGCCTCCTCCTCCTCCTCCTCCTCCTCCTCCTCCTCCTCCTCCTCCTCCTCCTCCTCCGCCTCCTCCTCCTCCGCCTCCTCCTCCTCCTCTTTCCTTTCCTCACCATCTCCTGCGGGCTGCCACCTCCGTCTTCTAAGATCGCAGAGCTGCATGTCGGCTCTTCGAAGTTTCCTCTTTCCCTCCTACAAGTGGAACGCATCAAGTGCCATCAAGGAAGGAGAGGAGGAGGAGCTCGAACAGCATGCGGCCTATCGGTGCTCCTCCTGTGTCCTCCATTATTGGAAACCTCTTTCCAGGAAGAGAGTCTGCAGGTCTTGTCCTCAAAGCTTCCCCATCCTCCTCCTTACTCGTTTCCGCTGTTTTCCTCCTCCTTATTCCTTATTCTGATCTTCTTTTCCATCGCTCCACTATCTCTTCCGTTCATTCCTCTTCTTCCTCCCCTCTTCTCCTCCTTCTCTCCTTCGTCCTCTCTTGCATTCTAATGTAGGATCTCAGCCTTCTCCGAGGATCGCACATTTACTTCTACGGGGTCGGGGAGACTCGCCAGCTTGCCGCTCTCCTCGTGTCCTGGCTGCAGCACAATCGCTCGATGCCTGTCCTTGCAGACGGTTTCGATGCAGCTGCATGCAAGGGAAGGGCAAACGTGTCATGGAGGCCCCTCACTCCCTCAAGTCACTTCGACTTCCCCGTCGAACAGGTCCGGCTCCTTCCTCCTCCTCCTCCTCCTCCTCCTCCTCCTCCTCCTCCTCCTCCTCCTCCTCCTCCTCCTCCTCCTCCTCCTCCTCCTCACGCCATCGCCAGCATGACATCCACATTCTCCACCCGTATGACCCGGGCTCCCTCCATGAGGCAGCCATGGCTCATCTCCTCCAGCGATTCGCCTCCGGCCAGTCTGATGTAATCTGGCATCGCCGACCTCCTGCCAGCGATCGAATGCTGGAAAGTGATCACATGGGAACCTACAAGATGCTCTTCGCTCCTCCCGTCCTCCGACTTTCTCCCCAGCTTGCCTCCTCCTCGGTCTCCCTTGCACCTTCCACCTACATCCTAGTGACAAGGTCCTCAGGTACATCAAGAATGTCTCCTCCTCCTCCACTACTTGACCTTTCGCGGGAACATCGCACGACAACGTCTGAAGCGCTGGCGCTCCAACCAGAATGCGAATCGAACGGGTTCACTTGAAACTCTTTCTTTATGACAGAACCAAAATGCGTTGACTTGCAACAATCAACCCTCGTTCTATTTCTTCTTACTTACAACTGGCGTAAACTCCCGAGACTCTAATAAGCTGGGTCGTACATCTCCTTTCTCACTTGATCCTCTGATTGGATCTCTAGACGAGTAGCAAGATTCTCTTTCTTCGCCTCCTGCAACATTCTGGTCATCTTCCGCCCTCTCCCCAACAACCCACACACCCATTCCCTCGCTCCCTCCTTCCTCCCCTCCTTCTGCTCCCTCTCCTTACCTCGATCACCATCAACGCTATCTTCGCCGACACAGACCGGATCTTCGTCAATGGCGGATACAAGCACTCCACCGCAACGTCCTCGGGCGTCACCGTGTCTGCTACTGCCTGAGCTGCGATCCGCAGCATACCGTCCGTCACGTGCTTCAGCCCTCCAAGCACTGCTCCAAGCCCCACCCCTGGGAAAATATACGCATTGTTCCCCTGCCCAGGCACGAAACGCTTGCCCTCATACTCCATGGCCGGGAACGGGCTTCCACTCGCAAAGAGCACCTTGCCCTTGGTAAACTTGACCGCTTCTTCAGCAGTGCACTCTGCCTTGCTCGTCGGGTTCGACAGCGGAAAGATGATCGGTCGCTCGTTCAGCTCGGCCATCAGCTCAATCACCTGCTGCGAGAACGCCCCAGCTTGTGCGCTAACGCCGATGATGGCTGTCGGCTTCAGCTTTCTCACTACCTCGATGAATTCCTTAATCTCCTCCGGGTACTCGTGTGCGTATGGGATCTTGTGATGCTGGAGCTCGTGCAATCGAGAATGCACTACAAGCCCCTTGGAATCCACCAGCCAGCAGCGCTTCTTAGCCTCATCCTTGGGCATACCCTCCGCCACAAGCTCTTCCACTATGAGGTCAGCGATTCCGGTTCCGGCCTCCTGTCCTCAGGCTTCAGAACACTCAGCTCGCATGCAAGGCATGCATGTGGAAGCATGCAAGTCTTACCCCTGCTCCTGAGAACAAGAACAGCTCGTCCTTCAGCTTCGTGCCCTTCATCCTCGTCGCACTCAAGAGCCCTGCCAGGGTGACGGATGCAGTCCCTTGGATGTCATCGTTGAAGGTACAGATGCGATTTCTATACTTCTCGAGCAGCTCAAACGCCGTGGTGTTCCCAAAGTCTTCAAACTGGATCAACACGCCAGGGAAATGCTCGTGCAGCCCTATCAGCACCTCTTCCATGAACTGCATGTACTTCTCCCCTCGCACACGGGGCTGCTTCAGACCCGTGTAGTAAGGATCGTCGATCAAGGTCTGTGTGTTTGTTCCCACGTCCACTGTGATGGGCAAGCAACGATCTGGGTTGATCCCACCGCACGCAGTGTACAAGTTCAGCTTTCCAACTGCACATCCAAGCATCAGACCACGCAGTTACAAGTCAACGGGCGCCAAGACCCTCGCAGGCCTATGAGCACTCGATGTCTTCACCCCGCCAAAAGCATAGAGGAGACTTCACCTGGAATGCCCATGCCGTATGTCCCGAGGTCTCCTAAGCCCAGGATCCTCTCTCCGTCGGTGATCACCACGACGTCTACTTTCTTCGACGGCCAATTCGCAAGGATGGACTTGACAGACCCCATGTCCTCTATCGAGATGTACATCCCCCGAGGCCTCTGGAAGATATGCCCATACTTCTGACACGCCTCGCCCACGGTTGGAGTGTCTTGCAAGGACGTGTCAGAGTCTTTGAGGGCATGGTAACAAACTCAGGACATACAGATAAGAGGCATGATGTCAGTGACATGATCGACAACCAGGCGGTAGAAGAGGGTCTCATTACGATCCTGCGTCTATGATATCAATACAAGCAAGAGGAGCTCAGAGTGTACCTGAAGGCCCATCAGATAGATGTACTTGTCTAGGGGTGACGGGCAGTTGTTGAGCTGCATGAGGGCCCTCTGTGCTTCTGTTTCAAGGGGAAATGATGTTGGAGGTAACAGTCCTTGCAGACAAAGCATCTTGCGATGTTCCTTGGTGAATGCCATGCCCTTGTTGATGGATGGGTCTTCCAGCGCTGTCATTGCGCAGGTTTTCCCGGCAGATGCTATCGCTTGTGCTATCTCCTGATCAGAGTACGATGAAGGCGCTGATGCTGATGCTGGTGCAGGAGCAGGCGCAGGCGCAGATGCAGCAGGCGGGACGGGTTTATTGGAGCTATCGGTAGGTGCCATAACGCTCCCCTTCTTCTGTTCGGTGGGTACTACGGGCGGATTGTTGCTACTGGAGCCGCACCCCATACTACCTGCAGGGCAGGGTCAGCAAAATTTGCTACCAGCCATTAGTACGAGATCGTAAACTTTGCTGCCCAAATCAGCTTTGTGTACCAACAAAACAAATACTCTATTTGTATGAATGATTCAATATAAGTACAAATATGGTACAGTAAAGACTAAAATATAAATTATTGTTCACAAATAAACATAGCTCTAATATGTAAATATACTTTTATCTTCTACTGATCCTTTTTTTAAAATAATTATATAGATGAATGGTATAAATAACAAATTGTTTTAAACGAGAGGGCTCAACTATACTGGGGTCGCAAGGGACCCACCGGTAATATTTGCATTATCACCCCAACTTGCATGCTACCCCCTTTTTTCTCTTTCAGAAGTACCCACCCCCTCTACAAGTTGTGATCCCTACCTCCTACACTGGAATTCCAACTAGCAGTCAACGTGCAATTGCTACCCCACCCTTAATATTCCCAAAAACTTCGAATTAAGTCTTGGGGGTGGGTCCGGTCTGTCCGAAGGTGGTTAGGCGTATACCACCCACCCCTATCTCATCTGGCAAAAAGAGTCACGAAGGGTCAGGGGTCATGGGGGGGATGAGGGCAACACCAGTGCTGTGGGCGTGGCAAGGCGTGGGGGCTGCTGGGTGAGCGAGGGGTCTGCACTTTTACCTAGTGAGCGGGGGGATGTGCCACCCCCCACCCCCCACTCTATCATTCATTACTACAACATCATACGGTCAACTGAGGGGTAGGGGTAGACATTTTCGATTTGCGGTTTGATGACAGTACCCCCATAGGGTGAGGAATGATGGGGGTAGGGGTCAGGGGTCAAGGTGTCAGCTTCCGAAAGTCGGTCATGAGCTGTAATTCCGTAAGATCGAACACATCCTAAAAAGGAAATGGATCGGAAACAGCGAAGCAGCAGACGAGGAAGAATGCGTGTGGGAGTGAAGACAAGTCAAGTCTGAGTAGCAACTCAATCCTTTTGAAGTGGCAAGATGCTTCGGGCACACAGAAACACTAACGGGCTGTGTGTGGTAGTCTGTCTGACGGATTCATGAAATTCTACTCAATCCCTCAGAGAGAGATTCCGCTCACTGGTTGGTTGTCTGCATGGAATCATCTTATTTCATGTATTCTGTTGATTTTTTCCTGTAAACTCTTTATTTTTTCGTTTTCTCTTCTTGAACTTATGAACTTTTATGTCCAATGTGTTTTTGCGAAAAGTTGATTTGACGCGCGAGGCTTCGATTCGTGGTTCTTTCCGACCCCAGCCACTTGCTTCCCTCTTTATTCTACAGTTTAGGTAAAGAAAGTTCTTGTACTATCATGTCATCAAACTCTGAAAGCTCGCTAGCATGTCTCTCCTGCGAAACACAGGTTATCAAACAACTTAACTAGATCAATTATCACCTTGAGATCGACAACTTCAAAATTTCTTCTGCAATTTTCCTCCAGAAACCGCATAGCATCAGTGTTGTGACTGTCTTGCGCGAGGAATACTCTAGTTTTTGCATCCATGAATCTGTTCCAACATGTCACTTGCTAGCTAGTTCTTGCCCCACAGGGCATGATGGAACCTCTTCAAAGTTTGCACAATGGACTCCACTGCCGATTCATGATAGACGATGTCGGAACAAATTATCACCTGTCAAACGGTCATATCTTGCATGAAGTTCGAACGGAACCACACATCAGGTGCGATGTTTTCCAGAGTATCCATGATGTGATCTTCATCCGTTGATTTCCCCCACTCGAGCGTTTTCACAACAACGTTGCGGCCGCGACAATTGATTTTGGATGCAACATGGAGCCTGGGGAGAACTTGCTTCAAGTCGGTCATGATCATCGTTTCACAGTCAAGCCTACAAGGTACGACATTCAGCAAGACTCCTGAAGGCATCCCACAGGACAAACCTCGAGCAGATGCATCCCAGCAGCCCTGTACCAGAGCCAAGTTCAAGAATATTCTTCCCCTGTACGATACTCGGGTTTGAACAGAAAAGCCGCGCCAAGGCCATGGTTCCATCCTGTTGCCGAAATAACTTGAAAGACAAGTAGGAAAGAACGAAATGAATACCCACACTGTGATGCCAGTGTCAGCAGGATCATTTTCTATTCTTGAAGTTTCTTCCTGCATCTTTTTCTTTTCTATCTCGTACGGGAAAAATATCTCTTCATCCGCGTCGTCAAAAACTCTTGGCGACATTAGGCACTATAGTATCATCAAACATCAGGCTCACATGTTTCGCTTAGACAAGACGTCTTCAAAAGCTTTGGATGAAGGATACTGTTCTACAGTAATCGTGGATCCGTCGGGAAGTTTAAAGCGCAGGGGCTTCTGGAACCTATCCTGCCAAGAAGCGTACGACCTCCGCCTGTGGCAACCCCCATGAATCGTTCTCAAGGACGAAAACAAAATCTGGCACCATGTGCTCACGTGACTTGAAAATGGTGCTCCGACGAGACCGCAGTCCACCCTCCCTACGTTCCTAGCTCAGCTGCGTGCTAGCGCAAGATGCGACCGTACCGCTTGCAGGGCCGGCGCTGAAGATAAGATGCATCGCAATGAGACTCACGAGAGAAGGAGGAGGCTGAGTGCGGTGTCGACGTGCTTCATGCATCGTCTGCATGATCGTCCGCGTTTTCGCTCTTCCTATCATCACCATCCCCCGTCCTTCCTCCTCCTCATTGCGTCCAGAGCGAACATGATGCCATGTCCGCCAGGCGTGCACCCCCACCCCTTGCTTTAATTTTATACCCCTACCGAAATCAGAAAGATTGGACCCCTACCATCAATTTTCCCTGCGAATTGAAAATGAAATGACCGGTATGCTACTAAGGTAACCCAACCATACTCGCTATCACCCCTCTCCGAATTCAATGTCCTACTATTTTTCTCTCCAAGGCTGATGGGAAAACTCCTACCGCACGTGAAGGCTCCTCCTCCTTTTGCATTGCCTTCTCCTCTATCCCCCCCGTTCAGCTCCCCTCGCTCCTGTCTCCTGCTCTTCTTACCTCTCTTCCTCTCTCTTTCTATCTTGCAGGCCTTACATCTACAGCTGCCACAGGCTGGAGCTGGTGACTTGCTGCCTCCTTCCTGCCCAAATCCTCTTGGCTCCTTGGTGGGCATTGTAGAGCGCAGGGCTGGGAGGCTTACTGGCGTATGAAACTTCCCTGAAGCTGTGAAACATGGAGGTCAAGGATCTTGAGTACACTTCGGGTGTTGGTATCAAGGCAGTCTCCTTCGGCTACTTCAAGCCTGAGGAGCAGCGAGCGCTGAGCGTGAAGCGGATCACGAGATCCGTTACTTTTGACAGGCTCGGGCGGTCACAGCGAGAGGGACTTTACGATCCTTCTCTTGGCCCCATCGACCCCTTGGAGAGATGCGAGACATGCTCGCAATCCTACGATGACTGTCCAGGGCATTACGGGCACATCGATCTATCCCTTCCCACGTTCCACCCCCTCCTGTTCAACGAGCTCTACAAGCTTCTCCGATGCTGCTGCTTTCAATGCAACTCACTGAGGATGAACGAGGAGCAGGTTGCATTCTTCACCTGCGTCCTGTCTAAGATCAGAGAGGGGAAGCTCGCAGAGGCCAGTGACTTCCTCTTGTCGGAGTCCTCGCTGGTTGTGGACTCGTTCAATCCGATGGAGCTGGATCATAACATTATCAAGCTGGCCAAGAAGGAGATTCAGTGCAAAGATTTCAAGTTTGAGAGCAAGACGCAGCATCAGCAGGAGCTCTGGAACCTTGCTTGCTCCATGTTCACGAGCGCCATCCCGAAGAAATGTGCACATTGCAGTGCTGCGTCGTCGACTCTCAAGAAAGACGGATACATCCGAATCCTGAAGAAGCCTCTGTCGAAGCGGCAGAGAGTACATTCGTCCAAGGCCGTGAAGAAGGGCAAGGGCGATGTCAAGGAGAAGGGGAAGGAGACGAAGGGCAAGAGAAAGTCGATGGAGCTGATCTCTGAGGAGGCGGAGGAGGATGAGGAGGATGAGGAGGAGGCGGAGGATGATATGTCGGATGACAACGATGGGGATGGTGAGGACCTGGATGAAGACGACGACGACGATGACGAAGAGGAGAACGAGGACGCGAACACCAAGTCCAAGCACGGCAAGTCCTCGCAGAAGGAGGAGGGGATCATGCATTCCGAGGTGAAAGAGAGGAACTCCAAGGCAAAGAAATCAGCCTCCGAGCTCCCGGTAAACATCACCCCCCTCAAGGCCTTCAATCTCGTCCAGAGAATTTTCCGTCGCAACTCCGCATTCTTCGACCTGCTGTACGGGTCGCACGCCAACGGCAAGCTGTCGTGCGATGCCAACATGTTCTTCTTGCAGACCCTTCTCGTAGCTCCCAACCGGTTCCGTCCCCCCATCCACCTGGGGGAGCAGCAGTTTGAACACCCTCTCAATGTGTGCCTCAAGAGCATCATGGTGGAGAACGAGCAGATCCTGGAGCTGCTGGACAGCAACAACGGAAACAAGACAAGCTCTTCCCTTGACAGCGAGGTGCTGCTCAGGAAGTGGAGCAGGATGCAGAATTTTGTTAACCAGATGATCGACTCGACCAAGGCAGAAAAGGCGCAGGAGGGTGTCAAGGGCGTGAGGCAGGAGCTGGAGCGCAAGGAGGGGCTGATGAGGATGAACATGATGGGCAAGCGAGTGAACTTCGCCTGCCGTAGTGTCATCTCCCCCGATCCCTTCATGACGACAGGACAGGTGACTTGCGGCCCCTCCTGCTGTCCGTAGCTCGTCCATCTGCTCCTCTCCTCCATCCCGCTCCCTTCTGCCACCCCTTCCTCACTTCCACACTCACTTGTTCGCTCTCTTCCTCTTCTCTCCCTCCCCGTCTATGTGCTGACTAGGACGTACAGGTTGGTATCCCTGAGGTCTTCGCGAAGCGACTCTCGTGGCCGGAGCCTGTCAATCAGTATAACGTGAAGCGGCTGCGGCAAGCGGTGCTCAACGGGCCTCACGTATGGCCGGGGGCAAACTACGTGATCGACGAGCGAGGAAACAAGATCGACTTGTCCAAGAAGCAGGCGCAGTTCCGAACAGCCATGGCGAAGCAGCTGGAGAAGAAGGACGCGAGGGGTCAGTGCTGGAAGGTGGGGAGGCACCTCAACGACGGCGACTACGTCCTGGTCAACAGGCAGCCGACGCTGCACAAGGCGAGCTTGATGGCGCACCAGGTGAAGGTGAACCAGGGGCAGCGGGTGATCAGGATGCACTATGCCAACTGCAAGAGCTACAACGCTGACTTCGACGGGGACGAGATCAACGTTCACTTCCCCCAGGATCAGTTCGGCCGTGCGGAGGCGGCGTGCATCGTCAAGAACGACCTGCAGTACATCGTGCCGACCGACGGGAGCCCGATCCGAGGTCTTATCCAGGACCACGTCATCGCCGGCGTCCAGATCTGCCAGCTGAACAGGATGTTCAGCCAGGAGGAGTACCACGAGCTGGTGTTCCTTATGCTCTCCAACCTCACCAGCGAGCTCGGTCTGCCCAACAACGAGATCCTCACGGTCCCTCCCTTCCTCCTCAAGCCCGTCAGGAGATGGTCAGGGAAGCAGCTCATCACCACGATCCTCGTCAACCTGCTGCACGACGTTCCTCCCATTAACCTCGAGTCGCCCTGCAAGGTCAAGGGCAACATGTACAAGCAGCACACGCACGAGGGGAAGCTGGTGATCCGGGGCAACGAGCTCCTCACCGGCGTCCTTGACAAGAATCACATCGGCGCCTCCGCCTACGGCTTAGTTCATGCTGTCTTCGAGGCCCACGGAGCTGAGAAGGCCGGCCTCCTCCTCACGATCCTCGGCCGCCTCTTCACTCACTTCCAGCAGGTCCCCTCCCTCCTCCTCTCCCTCCTCCTTCCCTTGCTCGCTCCTTCCCCCCTCCTTTCCCCTTTCGCACTGTCAACTGTCCTCCCGTTCAACCCCATTCCTCGTCCTCTTCCCCTCCCCCCTCCCTCTTCTCTCCTGCTCTGACTTCGCCTACAGACTCATCGCGCCTTCACCTGCGGCGTTGAGGACCTCATGGTGACGGAGGAAGGAGACGCCAAGAGGGCGCAGGTCCTCGATACGGCAAACTGGAGGACCCTCGACTCCTCCGCCAAGTTTGCAGAGATCAACTTCGAGGACGACTGCTCCAAGGCGACGGGCAAGGAGCTGGAGAGGAGGAGGAGGGCCGTGCACGCTGCGCTAGCTCACCTGCTGTTCGAGGAGAAGGGGAGGAAGCTCAACGATCAGCGCATCTCGCAGGCCCTCGCGACCGTCACCTCGGGAGTGATCGACGCGATCCTGCCGGGGGGCCAGCTGATTCCCTTCCCCGAGAACAACTTCGAGATGATGACGGCGACGGGCGCCAAGGGCTCCAAGGTGAACATGTCGCAGATCTGCTGCCTGCTCGGTCAGCAGCAGCTCGAGGGCCAGCGTGTGCCGGTGATGGCGAGCGGGAAGACACTGCCATGCTTCCAGCCGCTGGAGACAGACGCGAGGGCAGGCGGGTTCGTGGGCGACCGATTTTTGACAGGCATCCGACCACAGGTGAGAGAGAAAGGGAGGAGGAGAGGGAGAGGGAGAGGGGAAAAGCTGTTCGTTCCCTGCTATCTTTCTCCATCCTAGACATCACTACGAGAATCTCTTCCCAGCACTTCCACCTGCACTACTCGCTCCTTGTCCATCCTCATCGCCTTGGCCTCTCCTCCCCACTTGGTCCTCGTGCTCACCGCCATGACTCATGTCTCTTGCAGGAGTACTTCTTCCACTGCATGGCAGGACGAGAGGGTCTGGTTGACACAGCAGTCAAGACCTCGAGGTCTGGTTACCTCCAGCGATGCCTAATGAAGCACCTCGAGTCCCTTACGGTACTCTCCTCCCCCCTTCCCTCCTCCCCCCTTCCTCCCTCCCCTTCCCCCCTCCCCCCCTTCCCTCCTTCCCTCCTGCCCCTCCCCCTCCCCCCTTCCTCCTCCTCCTCCTTCTACTCCTACTCCTACTCCTACTCCTACTCCTACTCCTACTCCTGCTCTTAATCCGTCTGCTCCTCCTCCTACACCTGCTCCTACTCTTACTCCGTCTGTTCCTCCTCCTACTCCTACTCCTGCTCCTACTCCTGCTCCTACTCCGTCTGTTCCTCCTCGTCCTCATCCTCCTCCTTCTCTGCTTCTTCCTTCCTCCTCATCTCCCCTCACTCTCCTCGCAGGTGGCATACGATCGCACTGTGCGAGACAACGATGGAGGAGTCATTCAGTTCCTGTACGGTGAAGACGGCATCGACCCAGTT